GTAGAACCGTCTCTGATACCATATAAGAAACTGGGGGAAAACGGGTGCAGTCCCACTAACATGAAGCGCACCATGAACAGGGAAAGCCCATATGAAGCCCAAGTGAGGTTCCATCCCAAAACCAATTGGTGGAAGGAGGTGTAACCCATTAGACTTATAAGGTGTGTCTATTTTTCATGTATGAACAATGTGGGACAACTCACAAGTGATATTCTAACATAGCTAGACGTTGATTGGCAGTTTTTGGATTTGCTTCTTGAGACGTGACTCTGTGCGTGTGGGTGGTCGACCGCGGGTGTTGCTGCTCAGTTAGCTCGGTGAGATTGTCGGCTTTGGAAAGGGCTTTATTCTATTTTCTAGTGGTATATTAGCGTTTTGTTTTGAGTATTTGTGTTGTTTTAGTGTTGATGTTTTATTTCTCCCAGTTGGGAGGCTTCCGGTTTTTCTTCTAATTTTTATTCTTCTTTTAGGAACTATTATTCTTTCCTGTAAGAGCTGTATAGTTTGTCGTATTGTGAGTGAATTAGTGTAGAAGTTTTAAGCTACACCTGTGTAGTCCTCTCACTAAATTCAGTTGGATGACTATTAGGCTAATTCTAGCTATTATCGAGGTACATATGNTATTTTCTTTTATTTTTTTTCTTTAAAAATCATACAACATTAAATGTTACCTTAAATTTCGGGCTTTTGTTCATTTTATTATTTAAAAAATGCGGCTAAGATTTATTAAGTATGTATATTTTTGTTTTTATTTTTTTCTTAGAAACAACGAACAACATTAAAATTTCGCTCTCTATATTTATAAAATCTCAATTCAAAATATAACAAAAGATTTAAAATCTCGGTCTTTATATTTGTGCCTTTAAAAAAAATATTGAAAGCTAAAAATATTCTTTAAACTGCATAATCAATCAAGTAATCTTAATTTTTTAAAAATTACTATGTTTATTTTTTACTAATATGCATAAAGTAAAAATAAGTAATTCATCTTTAGATATATAATTTATAATCTTAATATGCTATCATTTGGTGTAGATATTTATTATATGAATCATAAAATATTTTTATTTCATAAAATTAAATATATTTACAGAAAATAAGAAAATTTTTTCGTATCAATCGGGTGATTGAATTAGGGTACTGCCCAGTTTGATTGAATTACTTTTAGGTGATATTTAAAATAGTAAAAAAACTTGACACCACTTGGTTGGTCCCAGATGACTAAGTTATGTATCAGTTCTACCACACCAAATCGATTATTGAACCTAAATATAAATTTTATATTAAAAATATTTTATTACGTGAATCTGATATAGTCCAAACTTCAAGTAATTGTATTAACAACACTTTTACGAGAACATGTTTAATGATTTATGAATATTTATATACCATTTTATTAATATTTATGTGAATTAAATTATATTTTATTATAATATTTATTAATGTACAGTAAATATAAAGTTTTTGAGAATTGGACCGTAATAAGGTATTTTATTACGTGAATGTGATGTAGTACAAACTTCAAATAATCCTATTAACAATACTTTTATAACAACATGTTGAATGATTTATGAATATTTATATATCATTTTATTAATATTTATGTGAATTAAATAATATTTTATTATAATATTTATTAATGTACAGTAAATATAAGGTTTTCAGAACTGGACTGTCATCGAAACGATCAAGTTATTTTATCAAGCTATTTTAATAAATATAAATAATGTGTTACTTAGATATCTAAACAATTTATAAATTCAAATGTTTCAACTAATTGATAAATAATTTATAAATCTCTATTTTATTTAAATATGTAAAAAAGAATTTTAAATATAACAAAAGTTATTTAAAAAATCGTATTTATCTTACCAATCCAACCGACTGGTTTTGACGGATTCGAGAGCAAATATTTTATTCAAGCAAACTAGACTGGTCATAAACTGTTCTCAGTCCATCCAGTCGGACAGTGTCCAACCCGGTTTAATTTAAAAATAATGAATAAATCATGATTAATGTTATTTATATATTTAATTTGTAATACAATCATAATATTGTTTTCCCGTGCATCGCACGGGCCACACACTAATTTTCCATCAAACCCAAAGGTCAAAATCTGTGTGCCTATCCCCACGCATATATACAAACATCCTTTTTAGGGGAGCATATTATATATATTTCAAAATTTGAAAAGAAGAAAAATGTATAATAAATTGATTTGGGTGTAATAAAGAAAGTATAATAATTTTGAAATGATATTTGATTTGACTGCTATCTTCCATAGCTAGTCGCAATTATTTCCTTTTAATCTGTTTTTTTGTTGTTCTTCCATAACTGAAAAAAATGGTAGATAATGAAAAAATAACAATAAATTTGTACTATTGGATTTAACATATCAATGGTCATAATTAAGTTAAATTTTGATCAATCATTAATGGCAGTATGATAAATTAACATACACATTGTGCTCAAATATATATATTGACCAATTATTAAGAGTATTTTAGTAATTATATATCAGTACAACTCATAATATGGGACCCACCACAAACCACCCTAATTTCTCTCTCACACACATTCACACAAAAAACACATAGTAGATTTATCTCTCTCTGCACATATACACTATCTGCACATATTCACGATACATACACAAACATACACTGAGGCCACTGGCCACTTCGAACACCGCCGAGCATCCCGTCGCCGACACCATAGCCCGCTACGGCCAACATCTCTGCCAATCCAGTTGCCGCCTCTATATCCCGTAGCTGCCATCACCTCTGGTGCTCCGTCGAGACAGCTCGTCGCCAGCGATCCATTGAGAGAGCTCGTCGGCGTCGACAGAGGAGAAACCATAGGTTACGGAGCCTCAGCCGGCTTCGATCCCGTAACATCGGCCGTGGAGTCGATGGGAAAAATGTTGGCGTAGGTCCTGGCGCCGGCTACGTCACCGCCGCGAGGAGCTCTGCCGACAGGAGCAAGCAGGTGATGTCCGACGGCATGCGATGGCGGCGACTGCGCGGAGATAGGGGAGACTGTTTTGTAGTTTTTAGCCGAGTACTGAATAAATCCCAAACTCATTGTACAGACGTGGACCTAATTAATGATTTGATCAATTAAATTTCTTATTTAAGTTGGTACATAAAACATAAATATATTGACGTGTACATATTATTAATTAATTTCTAAAATTCATCGTACTGCAGAATGTGCCGAATTAGTGCATTATACATAGAGATTTCACATATTTTCTGACTATATAAATTGCAGTTTTTGTGTATCCCCTCTATATATAATTTCAGAATGCGCTGAGCCTAGGTGGCAAACTCTCATGCTTCAGAATTCTATTGGGCAAAAAATCATGCTTTGGAGTTAGACTTGGATATAAATTAATATTTGTATTAATTATATTTTAATATCATTACCTATTATAACCATTGAATTGCAAATATATTTTAAAAGTTGATAACTTTTGTATTTCTTATCGGTTTTTACATATATAATATATCAAATTAATCATCTTTTGATGAGCTCTGATTTGACATCCATATCGTATATATAAAATAAATAAATTATATTTATATTTATAATAATAATAAAATTATTTATTAAAATTAATTAAAAAATAAAATTATTTATCAATTAATATATTTATGTTTAATGTAGTTATATGTTATAAGGTAGAAAATTTATTATAATATAACACATATAAGTCGTACAATTGACATATGTCATACTAAAATATATAATAATATATACTCCCTTCTATTTTTATTATTTGTCACTTTGGCTTAATTGACCATTAATAAAATAAATGTCGTTTTAGATATTTTGTTCATATTTTTCTATTTTTAACCCTACATCCAATACACAGTGTCTCTTCATATCCCATCTCCATCATTTTCACAACATCCATTAAATAGGATTAATATTGTCAAGAAAAAAAAAATCTTAATTAGTGTGTTGGATTTTAATTGATATTATGAAGTCCGTTTGTATTTTACTATATATATATATATATATAATACAAAACAGTAATATATATCCTTATAAATAAAATTTAAATTTATTTATCAAACTAAATTAAATTATATCAAATAAAACTATAAATTATACTATAAAGTAATAGAAATTGGTATGTATTCTTTTAAAAATGATATTTATTTCAAATCTAATTGGTATGTTGTCAATGTAATAAAAATAAATAATTATTTATCTAAATTCTAAAATTACATATAAACTTAAAAAACTGTTAAGCACGACTGATACGATACTTGATGTATTAGGCATCTAATTAAGTATAAAAATTAATCTATTTTGCTTAATATTAAATAAACATATTCTACACTTATGCATATACATATCACCATATTATTTCTATTTATTTAAGATGTATATTTTTGTACTTATGTAATAGTAAATAATATAGATAATTTTATATGATATAAGTAAAAAAAATCAACACGGATTGTCATTTTCATTTAATGTACGGGTATTTAATTATTATGATTAAAAAATAAAATTTGACAATTAAATTAAAACTCAAAGTAATGTTTTACATAAAATTAAATTATTTTAGTTTTAAAAAAAATAAAAAAAAGTAATATTTTTTACAAAAGCTTTTTAATTCAACACCCGTGTAATACACGAGTATTTTACTAGTTATTATTTATTCGTGTATAGGAAGCAAGTGAGAAAGTGAAAATGGATGGCAGCCAATCCCATAAAATTCCTATTAATGCGGAGGAGCCCTTTGATGTATGTGCTATCTCATTTTCTCTTCAATTATCCCTTTATTCTTCTTCACCGCCAAGAAATTCAGAAAAGCCCATCCATTTATCATTCAGACAAATACATTTATCAACCCTTTTGGGATAATTCATACACAACACATAGTCTAGGTTCCTTTTTTTTTTTCAATCTNTAACAAAAAAAAAAAAGAAAGAAAGAAACCAAGAAAACTATATTATTATTGGTAATCGAAGTTTCAAAAAACAATGGCAACTTACTACAACAAGAACAATGTTGATGTTGAGATTGGCAACAATGGTCAGTTGTACCCCGGCATGTCGGAAAATCCTCAGATGAGATGGGCATTTATCCGTAAAGTTTATTCTATCCTTTGCATACAGTTCCTTCTTACATTTGGAGTTGCCTTGGCCATGTTTCTAATACAACCGGTTCGAACGTTCATGCGTACTCCACCCGGGATCATCGTCTTCGTTGCTATCTTGATCGTGACCTTTATACGTATGGTTTTTGTTTTTTTTTTTAATCGTGGGGTGTGGTTATTATTATTATTGTTTTGTTTTCTTTGTTTTGTTTTCTGTCTATGGAAGTTGTTTGGTTGGTACAATTTGCGCTCTCTTTTTTATAATTTTATTCGTATCATTTTGATTGTTATGTGTAGTTTTTCTTTTATGTGTAACAGTTTGCATGATGATGCATTGCTTTAGCCAGAAACATCCATGGAACATCATCCTTTTATTCCTCTTCACTTTGGCAATGGCCTGTCTTGTTGGAGCTTCTTCTACTCTACGAAAAGGTTCGCATGTCCTTCTCTTTTCTATGTTAATCTTTAATTAATTTCCTTCTTCTTTTTTTTCTTTTTTGTCCTGATTTTTAACTTCTATAATAAAATGCAGTTAATTATTGTCTGAATAAGAACGATAGGCCATTATGTAACCTGATTTTGTTCTTTTTCTTATTGTTTTTTGACGAATCGGAGCAACAAATGGTTGAACCTGATTTTGTTCTTAACCGGTAATTATTAGGTGAAACTGTGCTACTGGCTGCCGGTCTAACGTTAGTCATAACCATCGGCCTCACTCTCTTCACATTCATTGCGGCCAAACGAGGCGCTGACTTTAGCTTTCTTGGGCCTTTCCTATTCTGTGCTCTCTTGCTCCTTTTCGCCTTTGCTATTATTCGGGTACATTACGCAGTTATTAACTCTTAACTTTTCACGGTCCATGTAACTATTACACTATTATTGCTTATACTTATTATTTTGTACTATATATATTTTTACTACAGATTATATTTCCTATGGGAAGATTAGGGGAGCAAGTAATTGGGTGCATTGGGGCGCTCGTTTTCTCGGGTTTCATAATATACGATACGGATAATGTGATCAAGCGGTTCACGTACGATCAATACATTGAAGCTGCAGCTTGTCTCTTTCTTGATATAATCAACCTTTTCATGAGTCTTCTTGCTATTTTGGGTGGCGATGACTGATTTATCGAGGGCTCGTTTGGGGTTTTTTTTATTAGCTAATGATGATCGAAGCTAATTGAATTTCGATATGATATTGCATGGAATATAAATTTCAGAAGAGGATTTGATTATAATAGGTTGTGTGTGTTTTTGTGTAGAGTGGTGTTCTTAATGTTTTATTCTCTCTTTCATTGTTTACTTATGACCATATTAATTAGGATCAAGGAATTGAAACTGTAATCTGTTCTGCAAATACAGTAAAAATCTAAGTAGGACTCAAATTCCTTGAGTTGATATGAAAGCTGTATGGATCCATCATCCATGCTGATATTCATATTTATTTGTGGTGTCTTTGTTTCATATTCTTCCAATGTTTTATCTATGGCTAAGTTTTATTTGACCATGCTTGTTAATTAGATAATTGTAATTCCATCAAGAAATTGATAACAAAGTCACACCTAAATCAAATAAAATTATAATCTATTATCTATATTAACTATGGCTAGAAGTTATAGCTGACCATGCATGAAAATAATTAGGTCTTTTTAGTTCCATCAAGAATCTGATAACAAAGTCAGACCTAAATTAAATAGAATTATGAGTAATATGTGTCAATACTTATTTGTGAGTAACTTGTGAGTAACTGAGAATAGCCTATAAATCGTGTCATCAGTTAAAACTGAATAATTATAAATGATTATTGGAAGAGGCTGGGACGATGCCATGCTGGCCTATGAGTCCTCCTGTCAACCATCAGTCACCTGGTCATTAAATTTAATAATTCTTAAGACTACTTTATACTAAAATCCTCATGCAAATCTAAATAGAGTTATGAGAATCAAATTATTTGTTTGTGAATTTTCTACTTCAAAAATATTATTCATCTTAGATTTATCATATATACAAGTGCCCCAAAAATAATCACAAATTCCTATACCTGTTAGACGGGTTGATCTGTTATATTATTACAATAAAAAAATATACTCATAATATGAAATATCTGTTGAAAAAGTATGATTGATCTAACTGTTAGAAAATTTTACCTTATTGCAATTTTTATTATTGAATCTATACACTTTTCTGTGGGCATGTGTGTTTTGATCCGACGGTAAAAAAGTTGATGAATGTAATGGCTCCAATTGCTCCCTCATGGTAGAATAATTTAATATCATGAACTTTGAAGGCTAAATTTGTCTTTCCACTTCAACAAGGCGGTTGAAAATTTTGAATGTAAGAATAACCCTAGTAGTCCAGGTAAAAAAATCCTAATACAGTACAAGTTACAACACGCTTCGTCTTCCTCCTTTGTCCTACACTGATTCACAGAATTTCACACGCGAGACGTGCTGTTTATAGGAGCTCAAATTTCAGCAAAAACCGAAGGGAGAAAAACCCAATTTCTTTTCTTTTCCGTCAAGATTCGAAGCAATGGCTGATTTCCGCGACAAAAGATTTGTCGACATTGAGATGGCGAACGGAGGATTCTCGGGCGTGGAGGATGAACTGAGATGCGCCTTCATCTGTAAAGTGTATGCCTTACTGTGCGTGCAGCTGGTGATGGTATTTGGGGTTTCCTTGGCCATGACTTTGGTTCACCCTGTGCGCAAGTTCATGCTCACTGATGCTGGCTACTACGTCCTCTTTGGAACCACGGTTTTCACCATTATAGGTGAGTTGAAACCTTGGGTAATTATTACTGATTTGGTAAATTTTCGAGAGTGTATTTTTGTGTTTTCGTGTGGGTTCATGGTTTCCGTTGATATTTTCTGGATTTGGGTTTGTTTGGTCCTTGTTCTTTTTTCATGTTCACGTCGTAAATATGTTTGGTGTGTTGATTTGGTTCTGATGTCGGCTTTTTATGTTAGTCCTTCATTGGTGGTTGATTTCATTTTCTTGATAGGTAATTGTGAATTTGTTTGTTCATGTTTAACATATTTAGCCTATCCTGAGGTTTCTTGTCATTATCCGAAAACATGAAAATCTTATCTGTAGAAGTGCACGTCCTTCTTGATCTTTGTTGCGTATAGAATCCCGGGTTTTGTTTTCCTACTTACTTTTGTGTGTGCTTGTGTTTTCGTGTGTGTTCATGATTTTCTTTGACAATTTCTGAGTTTGCGTTTGTTGGGTCCTTGTTTTTTTTCTTCATGTTCACGTCGTAAATATGTTGGGTGTGTTGGTTTGGTTCTGATTTGGGCTCTGTATGTTAGTCCTTGTTTGGTGGTTGATTTTCTTGATAGCTATTTTGAATTTGTGTTTCCTGTTTACCATCTTTAGTCTCTCCTGAGGTTTCATCTCACAATCCGAAAACATGAATAGCTTATATGTAAAAGTGCACGTTTTTCTTCCGTTTGCTGCGTATAGAATCATATGTTTTGTTTCTGTTTATTTGTGTGTGTTTTTGTGTGGGTTCATGATTTTCTTGATAAATTTTGGGTTTGAGTTTGTTGGGTCCTTGTTTTTTTCATGTTCATGTCATAAATATGTTGGCTGTGTTGATTTGGTTCAGATATGGGCTCTATATGTTCTTCCTTGTTTGGTGGTTGTCTTTCTTGATAGGTAGTCTGAATTTGCTTGTTTCCTGATTACAGTCTTTAGTAAAAACTTCCTGAGGTTTCATGTCATTAGTTGAAAATGTGAAAAGCTTATCTGTAAAAGTACACGCTTTTCTTGATCTTTTTTGCGTATAGAATCGTGGGTTTTCTCATTGGGAATTCAATTGTATACTGAGATTTATACAGCAGTAATTCGATACGTAATACTTAATTTGTCTGCCACCTTTGAATATTTCTGCTGTCTACATCTATAGCTTACTGTTAATCTCGAGTAATACATTTATATTATCCCAACGCTCGTTCGTTTATCTATTTACATGTCTTAATATGGTAAATGTTGCATGTTATTTAGAAAACAACAATTTTTTATGGAGTTCTTGAATTGTCTGTTGAAAATAGATAAATTTCTGATTTACAATCCCATTACTCATGTCATGTTGGCCAATTTATCAATGTAGTAAGTGGCATGTAATAATTGCCTACCTTCAATTTGGGAGATGAATTGTCCATTTATTCTAGACTCTACCTGAACTACTTCCATATATGCAGCTCTGTACAATTTTTACTAAGTAATATCGTAACAAATTCGGATAACGGGTTTATTCAAAGTACAATTTTTACTAAGTAATATTCTTTAAGTTGATGGTTTTTTCATTAGTATTCAGTTGATAATTTCATCTCTCTTTAATCCGTGCAGTGTTCATACTCATGCTCTGCCTTCGTGAACTACATCCCGTGAATTACATTCTTCTGTTCCTCTTCACTCTGGGAATAGCTTTCACGACTGGGGCTGTTTGCTCACACCAGAAAGGTAAACCCCTTCTTTTTCCCTTAAAATATTAATTTGTCACCGTGAAAAGTTTTATATTTAAAGGTATAAATTAATTCTTGGTTCGAATATTTTGTTTCAGCTGAAACCGTTTTGCTGGCTGCCGGACTAACACTAGTTGCTTCTGTTGGTCTCACTCTATTCACATTTGTTGCCGCCAAACGAGGCTGGGACTTTAGCTTCTTGGGCCCCTTCTTGTTTTCTGCTCTTCTGTTGCTATTAGCTTTCGGCCTCTTTAGGGTGGGTTTAGCTTAGCCTTCATTCTTACATCTGTATTTATTAAGGCTTACGAATCATCATATCACAAATGTATGCTAAAATTTCATCTTTTGTGTGGGAACAGGTCTTTTTCCACACGGGGAATTTAGTGAACCAGCTGATGGGAGTTTTTGGGGCGCTCGTTTTCTGCGGATACATGGTTTACGACACGTTCAACTTGATCAAGCGCTTTACTTATGATCAGTATATTGAAGCTGCTTTGTGTCTGTTCCTTGATATTATCAATCTCTTTCTGCAGCTGCTTGCACTTATGGGTAGTGATGATAAGTGATGTGATCAAGCCTAGGATTTCAAACCTCTTCNTCTGTCATTTTTGCTGGACATATAATATGGATACGAGCATATTAAATAAAATTTAATGCATATTAAATATATATATATATATATATATAAATATTATATTTAAAATTATAAGTTAAATTTTAGATATATTTCATTTTATAAATTTGATCATTAGTAAAAATGAATAATATCATTATGAAATATTTTACTTCTATATAAATCGCAATATAGATTGCACAAAATTAAATTACTAATGTAAATGTAGAAATTTAAGGTATCATGATCAATTAATAAAATAAAAAAAAAATACTAAAGATATTGTTATAGCAATTGTTTACACGGTTTTAAGGGGTTTTTATGCTATAAACCAATTGGCTATTTAAAAAAAAATGTGTATTGTGAAAATAAAAACATAATATTAATTATAACATGAATATCTTGAAGAAAAATATTTTCTATTGAATTCTTTATAATTGTTTAACTTCCAGTGTGAATTTATAATAAGTTCATCCATTAGAGCAACTTCAGTGCTGCTCTACAAATGCCACGCTACTCTATTTTGGCGCAAATTCATGCTCCAACGCTACTCTATTCTGGCGCAAATTCATGCTCCAACGCTGCTCCATATGTTTGCGCTACTTCACAGATTGCTACAGTGTTGCGCCATATCTGGCGCAACACTGTAGCAACGCCAGATTTTTTTTTTTTGTTTAAGGTATTTTAATATAATATTAATGATAATTTTTTGTATAATGTGTATTAATAAATGTATTTTTTTACTAAATAATTTTGTGTAATGTATTTTTATGCTAAATAATTCTGTATTTTTATTAATTAATGTAGCATAAGTTTATTTTATAATTTTATAATTTTAAATGATACATATGAATAAAAATTCAACACAGAAAAATGATACATATGAATAAAAATAAATAAAACACATTATTATTATTATTTAGGTAATAAAAATTTATATAAGATTAAATATATATATATGTATATATACCATTTTATTTGAAATAAAAAATGAATAAGAAAATAATATATTTGATATAGAGTAAAATGTAGAGATAAGAGCTGGAGATAAATGTTTAACTCTACTCTAGAGTATAGTAAAATCTGCGCTAGAGTAGAGATAAGGGCTGGAGATGAATTTTTTTATTTATTTTTTATTTAAAATAATTGGTATATATGTGTATTTAATAAAAATATATTTTATTTATTTTACAATAAAAATATATTTTATTTAATTAATTTTATTTTAAATAAATTTTTACTACTTATTTGTGTTAAATTTTTTATTCATATGATACCATTTTAATATTAAAAAATTAAAAAATAAAATTATAATACATCAATAAATAAAGGCACAAAATTATTACAGCAAAAAAAATTATTGCACAAAGTTATTTAGCATAAAAATACATTTATTAATACACATTATACAAAAATTTATCATTAATATTGCATAACAAAAAACCAAAAAAAAGAAGAAGAAAAAAAAAATGTGGCGCTCGTTACAGTGCTGCGCTATAATTGGCGTAGCACTGTTCCTATATCTAATGTAGCACAATTTTTGAGCGCAGCGTTGGAGCAAAAATTTCACACAACTCCAGCTTTTTGCTCTAGAGTATTGCAGGGCTGGAGAGGCTCTTAGTAATCTATGTGTGTGTAAAGAGGAGCAACTCATTTAATGTCATCATCGAATTTTCTCGTTGGATCCATAAGGATCAACAACTAAGATGTGATCTGCGAGCACGAAGTACGAGAAGCCTCACAGGATTGGACAGGTGAAACGACAAGACATACGACGGATATCTCAAAAAAAGGGGGTCGGATACGACCTATTTAAATACATTATTATCAACAAGTCTAATTGACCTAAAGAGCAATAGCTTGTTTGATAATAGGGGGCTAGATGATATAGCATATAAAGTAGCTCAGCCGGTTTAATCCTTAGGAGCTCGGCCTTAGTCAATAATATCAGTTATCCCGGACAAGATAGGCCTTAGTAGCTCGTATAGAGTGGTGATAGATAAAGCGATGATGTAGGGAAAGCATACGAGTGAGAAGTATAAACGAAATACTCTCTTGTAAAACACACAAATTCACAATATCAGATTTACTCTCAAAATTTACCAAGTAACAATAAAGCAGGAGAGTCCTTTATATAAGACTCTTAAAACTAATAACCTAACATGTTCTCTAAGCTAACTACTAATTATTAAATAATAATAATAATAATAATAATAATAATGATAATAATAATAATAATTATTATTATTCTTATTATTCTACACCATTCTCCCCCGGTTCGGAAGGCTTCGCCCTCGAAGCCGACGCGCTCCCGTGGCTGGTGTGGAGGCGAACCCATGGTAATAATCCCCGTCGTTTTTTCCTGTCGAACACGAAGGTTGAATGTCGCACCTCCATGGAATCACCCCCTTGAAATTCATAGAAAGGCATATATGCAGCAGCCACACACAGAATTTTGAAGTCACTGTGGTGACCAAAAAACAGCATCTGTTGGCAAGGCCGCAACAAATTCCTGTAAGAGAAAAGCTCGGGCCTGTGCAACAGAAGAACTACCACTTCGTCCAACAGCTGAATTTCGATACTTGGAACATGCTGGAATTTCTCCGGTCCTGGAGGCTCCTCATCGAAAATCGGCGGACCGTCATAGAGACAGTTCACTTTGCCGGTAAAACGCTCCTCCACCTCCTCGGGTCCTTCATCAAACACCGGTGGACCATCGTACAATGGCCCGTCAACTTGCTCTTCGTCAAATTCGGGGATGTCAACGCGAAACGGGCCCTCCCATCGACCATATTATCGATCACATTCCCAATCGCGTCGGGCACGATATCCTCCGGCGACGGCAGCCTCCTCAAGCCTGCCTCTATCGTCGCGTTGATCGTCGCCATCCACGAAGATCGAGTCCCGTCGCCGCATGTCACAGCCGCCGTATGCAGCAAAGGGGTCAGCTTCGACGTGCGGGGATGGAAAATCATCAAAGGGATTCACTTCCGAGACTTTCTCCTCGCCGTCTTTGTTGGCGGACGGTGGTTGTGGAGATCCCCGATAGGGCGCCCCGCCTGGACCATGGCCTCCACGGCCTCCATGAATTCGCCCGCACACGCCCCGGTTGCTAGCGTCACGGTACGTTTGCTTGTCCCGAACCATGGTACGGATAGTTAGACGTATGTCCCCGATCTCCGCGGACAGATCTGCAATCTGACGACCCATCGTCTCGAGCTCGCGGCCAAACCTCTCGGTCTGACGGCTCAGGTTGTAGATGGCAGCGACACGCATGTCGTTTGCAGAATCATGTCTTCGCGACAGCATCGTGAATCGTGCTGACTTCTGATACCAACTGATGTAGGGGAAGCGTATGAGTGGGAAGGATAAACAAGATACTCTCTCGTAAAACATAGAAAACTCACAATATCAGATTTATTCTCAAAATTCACTAAGTAACAATAAAGCAGGAGAGTCCTTTATATAAGACTCTCAAAACAAATAACCCTAACATGTTCTCTAAGCTAACTACTAATTATTAAATAATAATAATAATAATAATAATAATAATAATAATAATAATAATAATAATTCTACACCAAGCGAGGTAGCTCTGCCTTAGTTAGTATTAGTAGCTAATACATGGTGTCTAAGATCTATACGGGGTTCGTAATAAAACATAAACAAAGAACAAACTGAAGATATAGGTGTATGACCTACTGAAGATATAAGTGAAGGACCTAGTGAAGACTTAAATAATGGACCTATTGGAGATATGAGTAAGGGACCTACTGAAGACTTAGGTAAGGGACCTATCGAAGATGCGTATGAGGGACCAAAGGAGGATTCATGGAAAAGACCTATGAAGACTTCAAATATATGGACAAAAGAAGTAACAAGACCAAATGAAAGGGTATAATTAGACCTATTAATAAGGGACACGTGGAAGAAGGATCTCGACTTGACGAGCAGTGGGATAACCATTGGGCAAGCCTTCCGGCAGTCGAGTAGAGCAAAGTGTGCCTGAGAAGCCAATAACTCACTATAAATAAGCAAAATGAAGAGGAAGAAAGGTTAATCACAATTTATACAGTCTAAGCTTTTAGAATATTTCCATACAACTTTTCATATCACCTTACTGACTTGATCGTTAGAGGTTAACACCGATAACATCTCCCGGCGTCTTTGTAGGTCTCCATGGAGCAAGACATTTGAGGGGCTATGGAGAGTCAGTTCGAGGTGCAATAGCACATCGGCAGCAGATTGGGTTTGTGGCAGGAGAGAGCCAGTTGAGGCTTGTGCAGTCCGTGGTGTTGCCCAATAAAAAAAGTTTTTCGTATCAAAGTGTGGGAGGTAGTGGCGGCAGAGGTGTCGTCGTGCGTCTTGGTGCACGATAGGACTTTCTTTTTTGACTTGGGAGGCCAATTTAAGACTACACCTAATGGATTATGCAATGGGAATGGAACATTCCAATGAAAGCTTAATTATGCATATCTTACAAGTTTGGTTACAAATTAATGGGAAATGCAACAGTCCCATGAGGGAATTGTTCCCTCAAATCATTATAATTCATTAGATTTTGTAGTTTTGATATGAACTCTGTAGTCAATCAAAATTAATGTGACAGTTTATTATTGAAGTTTCACAGAGGGGAATGGTCACGTTACGGGGCTGTAGCATTTTCCTAAATTAATGGGCCCCTGCATAGGTATTACAAAAAGAAAAACCATTATTATCCCTAGGTTTTTTTGTATTGTTTAGTTAAGAACTAGGATGCACAAGAACCAGCAAGTTAATGATTCCCCACTATATTGCTATTTCACAACTAGAACAAGTAAAAAATAGTAACATAAATTAATTAATGGTTAATTAGAAGGGATTTAAACATAGGTTTGTTGATGTTAGTTTCCTAATAGTATAAAAGATTACTTATTAAAACAAATATATAGTCTATTAAAAACAACATAACTTTAAAAATTATATTAAAATCATGTTTCACAGTTTAAAAACAACATAATAACAATTATATGAAATTCTTCCTTTAACCATTATATTAAACTGTTTTATATTTAAAAGACAACATAAAAATTTTTAGATTTAGTTGAATTTTTGGTTTGGTTTGGTTAATTTTGAAAATTGTGGTATGATTAGTTGTTAGTGAGTATATTAAAATAATATTTAAAATAAATAATTAAAGTTGATTTGATGTAAAAGTAGAAGAGAGATGATGTGAAGTGATGGTTACTTAAAATTATGTGAGTGAATGAATAATAAATTAAAGTTGATGTGATGTGTAAGAATGATTGGTTGATATTATTTAATTATATTGATAATACTAATGATAGTGGGGTTGAGTTAGAGTTGAATTAAAAAAAATGGTTGAGTTAAAAATGTTTTGATGTTTTTGAGTAAATTTGTATCCAATCATTAGCAGCTCATCACAGTCTCTTTCACCATCCATACCTATCATCACACTCCATACGCAGAGCACCATTCATCCTACCTCATACCCTCATTTAACTCAAGTTTAGGTTGAAATTTTTTATTTGTAAAATTGACAATTTAANTATATATATATATATATATATATATATATATATATAAACGTGTTAGTTTTACCTTTATAATTTCATATTAGGTAGTTTTTGTTTTTAATTTTAAACTTTATTAGTTTTTCTTTTATAGTTCTTATATAAGTGTAGGTATTGGTGGGAATTCATGTACAATATCCATCTAATAAAAATTGCAATGTGTATAGAAGTTACCATTTATTTATAAATATTTCTGATAAGTTAGAGAAATATCTAATATCTATTGCTATCTTAAAAGACCAATATTTCTGTAAAAATTTGGACATTTTTATAATAACACTTTGATCTTGAACTTATATTATCTTATAAGTTATTAATTACTTCATCATTTTTAATGGCTTAATTGTCATTTCGTAAGAGTCCATTTAATGAAAGAAAGTAATTGTTCCTGATTATATAAATTATAGTTCTTTTAGAAATCTCGCGAATGTGTCCGTTTGTTTCTATTTTATTTTTAGATTTTTGTTTTCATTTTTAGTTTTGTCGATATTTTACTTTGATTTGATTCAGTTTCTTTGGCTAATTTTGGATTTGGATGAGAAGTTATATTTCCACCGTTTACTTTTTTAATGTTTTTGTAAATTTTAAAGATAATTTGTTAAATCTGTATAAAAACCTAACTTAGACCGATTAATTTTCTCATTAAGAAAATTTTAGTTAAATAATACTATGTTATTTTTATGTAAGGTAAAAATTACAAAAGAATAACATTTTGAATTACATGATTATATTAGCGTAAGTAATATGATATATTGAAAATGAGTCCAATATATTTAGAGAATAGTAATTAATAACGTTTTTATTATTTAGGAAATATGTTATGGATCTAAAAAAAATTGTCAGCATTTATATTATAAAAGTTGTATTATTTTTTTTTTGTTTGTTTGTTTTTAAAGTTCAATTGCTTTTGTGTCAATCGGAACACATGCGGATAGAAAATGAACTACTAAATACAAATAAGATAAAAAAAATAAAAAATTGTAGAGTTATGAATAGTAGCGCTCCAAATGTTGCATAAGACCATCTCAAGCCCTCTGTTCTACTCTATAATAGAGTTTACTCTACTGTAGAGTAAAATAAACCAAAATTTAAGTTTCATCCAGTCATTCTACTCTACATCAAATATATTATTTTTGTATTTATGTTTATTTCAAACAAATTAGTATATATGTGCATATTAAATCTTATATAAATGTTTATTACTCAAATAATAAAAATATGTTAATTTTAACGAAATCTACTTATTTTATTGTGTTAAATTTTTATTCACATGGTACCATTTTAATATTCAAAAATTACAAAATAAAACTATAATACATAAATAAATAAAAAGCACAAAATTATTTAATATAAAAATACATTCCACAAATTATTTTGCATATGCTCTGCAATATTTTCCCCATTTCATCCTTTTGAAGAGAAAAGTTTTATATAGAAGATAACAATTTGCTCTTCAATTGCAGCTTGAGTACACTTTGTTTCCCTCTACAATTCTTGTGAGTTGTGAATTGTGATAACATTTTTCTTTCTCTTCTGTAGGGTAAATTCATGAAAAAACTTGGAATTGCAGGCACCTTTTTTCAACCATTGCACCCTAGCCTTCTATTTCCTGAACTGCTTTTTTCTTCTCAGTTCCTCTCTCCTCCCAACTCTCTCATTTCCTCTAAATGCAAAGTTAGTTTATTTGTTATCTTTTCCTTGTTCCTTGAAGAATAGAAGAACTTAGTCCAATTAGACAGAACCTTTCTACTCTTAATTTTCTCTTTTCCTTCTATCTTTACCCATCTTTGGTCAAAATCAAATCTCCTTTTCCCTAATTTTACTCCACTTTCAGTTTCCACCAATAATACTCCATGGTCAAGAGACTAACGTTGGAAAAACAATTTCAAGTACATATCCATTGGCATACTCAATGATGTTGGGATAAACACCATGAGATTGAATTTATTTGTCCAGACAAAAAAATCTCAAAAAATCATACATCCAATTTTGGTACGTGCAATTTCATTGTTTCAATGCGTCATAAAAGTGAACTTCGTAAATTAGCAAAAATACCACAAACTCATTGTGATAAACCAGAAAAATATATAAAAAAAAAATAAAGAATAAAACTAACTAAAACAAATAAAAACAGGATTGTCCCTTCAGTAAGAATCTGAGAATCAGATTTCAATCATAAATTCGTCAGAATTAGCATGGTTTAATAAAAACAAGCATCATCAGGAACATTCAAAGAACAAATTCAAATTTTTCTTAATATTTGATAAAAAAAAAATTCTATTACGAATTAACCAAAATTCAGTATTTTTAACGGAAAAATGAATTGTTCCAAAGTAAGGTGAAGCTCAGATAAGACGTGAGAAGTAGTTCTTTTCCCGGACCACTCACAAAGAGAAGGCCTCATAATGAGCTGGGATTCTGATCTTATCATCACTGTCACACCGTTTCGGACATGTAATTACTCAAACCATAAATCGACGGGGAAAAAGAGGAAATACAAAAAAAAAAAATAACAACACTCCGGTTCCGGTGATGGCTAACCGAGATACGCGGTGGCTGCTGATCAAGGAGGAAGAAAACGAATAAGAAAATGGGCGCCAATTACCTTCGGTGGCGGCTAGAGAAATTGTGTGTTCTCCGCCTTCGGTGGCGGCTGCGAGGAGAAACGTGGGATGATTTTGATTATTAGTTGGGAATGAGATGAGATTAGGGTTTTGGAGCTTATATAAAGACATCTAGGTGGGCACTACCGGCCGGATTCGGGTTGTGGAGTTGACCAGCGGGTCATACATTGAAATTAAAGAATTTTATTTACAAAAAAATAATATTTATTTTAAAATTTATATATATCCATATTTGAAAAAATAATTCAAAATAATTGAATATTTGATTTGTTAATAATAATTATATAAAAGTTAGTAAAGTCTATAAAATAAAAATTTCTATTCATAAGCAAACTAGTACGATACTCATGTACTACACGATACTTAAATATTAAATATATTAATATTTGTACAATAAAAAATTAAAATAATTTATGTTTTATTGTGAAATTATGCATAATGAATATACAAAATAATAAATAACTTACAGAGTGACAATTAATTCAATATGGTGTCCGCATTTGCACTAAATTTGTCAAAAATAATAATTTTTAATTATATTTTAAACTTATATATATCTAAAACAAATTTTATTTAAAACTCTATATATTTAATTCAATTTTTTTAAAATAAAAAAATATTTTATTGTATTGTGATTATAATTATATGTATAAAGCTGGTGTCTCTTTTTTTATTTTTCAAGTTTTTTAAATATATGTAATTTAATAATTTAAAATATTAATTTGGGCAAAAAAGTATTATTTTATAAATTTATGAAGCATAAAGCTAATTATTATATATAATTATGATATCACTTTATATTTATTATTTTAAACAACATAATATCATTTAGTTCCTTAAATAATTTATTTAAATCGAGAAACAATATTTTATATTATTTCTTATAACTTATTTTATGTAATACTTATTTCCATATTTTATCCAAAATCTATGAAAAAACACATTAAATTATTTTATTGTTTAATGATGATTTATATTTTTATTAATTTTATAAATAATTTCTATTGTTATTTGATATTTTATAAATTTATTGATAATAAAAATAATTTTGTTATAAAGATAGATGAAATTATTTTATAGTTTATATATGTAATATAGATGTCAAACGAATATCATTAAAATATATTTAATATATCAGAAATAAAAAATAAAATACAAATAAAAGAGTTAGAAAACTTAACTATAAAAATTACTAATCATGATAATTGATATATGAATTAAATAAAAAAAAGTAAGAATGATATATTGTAACTTAAGAATAAATGAAAGCTAAAATAACTAAAAATGAAAGCTAAAATTTAATTCAATACACTATTTTTATGTATCATAACTTTATGTATTGACACGTCAAATGTGTATTTACTGCAGGACACGTATCAATAAACTATTTATAAATAACTATGAAGTAAAAGCCCAACTAATTAACGTCACCCAGCCCAATTAAAAGGATGAAGCCCACTGCAAAAAAACGCAGAAGCAGCACTACAAGCCCAATTTTAGCACGAAAAGCCCTTTTTTAAAGCTACAACCAATATATATATATCTTGAAAGCTAGGGTTTTGGCTGAGCGCATTTTGTGTAAACCAAGTGAAGAGCTTCTCTAGTCCTCCACAAGCTCAGCAGCGCAGCCATGGCTGTTGGGTACTAATGCTAATATCTAATAATTCGTTACACTTTTCCCATTGAAGCTCTAGATTTATAGATTATATCTTTTTTAGTTTCCTTACTATTCTTTTTGTTTTTTTTTCTCGAATTTCTCCAGAAAGAACAAGCGGATTTCCAAGGGGAAGAAGGGAGGCAAGAAGAAAGCGTGAGTCTTTGACAGTTTGATCGAATATATGTTATCATTTCATTTCATGTTCGATGTGGTGATGCTATTTTTAATCACCATTGTTTGGTAAAATGGAAATCTTTTTATTGCTGGTTATTACAGAGCTGATCCCTTCGCTAAGAAGGACTGGTATGATATCAAGGCGCCGAAGGTGTTCAGTACGAGAAACATAGGCAAAACTCTAGTTACTCGTACTCAGGGTACAAAGGTAGTTTTCTGTAAAATGTTATGATCCCAATTGAGCTTGAATTTTGTTTAGTATTTTCATAGAAGTCAATAATAAATTATATGATAGAGTTAGACTGGATATAGTTCTTGAAACCTCTGGATTAGTATTGCCCTTTTTTGAATCTTGGGTGTGGGAATGGTTGAGTTTAAATGGAAATCTTTTACTTAGTTGTAATTTTGCAGGTTTTCTTGCTTATCCTTATGCCCCTTTGCGTTCCTGTTGTGTACAAACTGATTTCTTAGGTGTAATGTGAAGCACTTGAACGTAGTATCTGTTACAGTCTACCTTTGACTGTTTGGTGTCCTCTGTGGAATGATTCGTTCCAATAGTCGGTTTTACTAGATTTTTATTCCACCTTTAACCAAGTTCCTATCCAACTGGTTATTTTGAAAGATAAACAGTAGAAGCAATCACCTCAACATGATCGTGAGAAACAATTAGTTCTGTATATTTGGTTGGTCTGTATATTTCTGAGATATGATATAATAATGATTATAGATTGAGCGCATGCCATTAGATTTTGTTGTATCAACAGTGTATACTTATCAATGTTGTGCAAGTCATTATACCATTATTTGTTATCAGATTGCTTCTGAAGGTCTCAAGCACCGTGTGTTTGAGGTGTCCTTGGCTGACCTTCAAGGTGATGAGGACCACTCCTTCAGGAAGATCCGTTTGAGAGCTGAAGATGTTCAGGGAAAGAATGTTCTCACAAACTTCTGGGTATGTGGAATGCATAAGCATCTATTTTTCCCTGTATTTATTTCGTTTGATATTGTTGACATGATTGGATTCTTTTGTTTACGTGCAGGGCATGGATTTCACCACTGACAAGCTGAGATCTCTCGTGAGGAAATGGCAGTCACTAATTGAGGCTCATGTTGATGTCAAGACTACCGACAACTATACTTTGAGGTTGTTCTGCATTGCCTTCACGAAGAAGCGCGTGAACCAGCAGAAGAGGACATGCTATGCACAGTCGAGCCAGATTCGCCAGGTAAATATTCTGATTCTTTAAAAGAGCAACACCAATTATTTGTTAGTTTTAATTTTTAAGCATTTATTCCTATTTGCTGTTCTATTTTGATAGATCCGGAGGAAGATGAGGGAGATCATGGTGAACCAAGCACAATCTTGCGATCTCAAGGATTTGGTTCAGAAGTTCATTCCCGAGTCTATTGGCAAAGAGATCGAGAAGGCAACCCAAAGCATCTACCCTCTTCAGAATGTGTATATCAGGAAGGTCAAGATCTTGAAAGCTCCCAAATTTGACCTCAGCAGGCTTATGGAGGCAAGTTTCTGTTTTTCTTTAAAATTCTAGTTCTTATTTACAATTATATGTGATATGTCGAGTGATTGCATAGTCTTTTTTTTTTTTTTTCNTTATTTTATTCTCCAAGGAGCAGTTTGGGTGAGGCTAAATCTTAAGAATGCTTGATGTCGAATTGGTAGCTGAAATTCATTCAAAAGATTGTTTTGCTAGGCAAATTTAAAGGATGTATAGCTCAATCTTAAGAGTGATTGATGTCAAATTTATTGTTTACGGTCCACTCTTAATATCTGAAGAGTTGTTTAAAAATAAACTCTCCCTTGCTTTCATACTCGATGGTAGCTATAATTCTGATTTTTTGACAATTTATTTCCACTGTCGATCTTGGAAATTTTAAAGGCTTGATTTAATTTTCTATTGTGGCTGCAACTTTGTAGGTTCATGGAGATCATGAAGAAATTGGTGTGAAGCTGGAAAGGCCAGCTGAGGAGCCAATGGTTGAGGTGACTGAAGTTGTTGGTGCCTAGATTTGGATTACATATTCGATTTCAATTATGTCCTTTTCAGTTACATGTACTCAGTTTTCTTGGAGAGATTTAGGATGAAATTCCTCTCAAGAGATTTGCTAAGGAGTTGTTTGTTTCTGTTTTAAGTTTTTGTTATATTGTACCCTGAATTTTGTGACCATTATGAATAATTTTACGTTTTCACTCTTTGCTTGGAATTTGCCTTTGCTTTTATTAAATACGTCTTAAGATGCCACCAGGTTTTGGATAAAATAAAAGGTAAAACAAAGGATGAATACTAAAGATTACTTGTGTTAATCTCTATCACTCATTCAACCAATAAATTTGTGTTTGACCGCGTACGAGTTGAGCTTGAGAACCTTGAATTTGAGCTGATTCAAGCATTTATTTATTTTTGTCAAGTTTAGTCGAGCCTTAACAGATTGAGCTCGAGCAACATTAAAAAATATCGAGTCGGTTCCTTTGAATTCATACACCATAAGTACTAAAATCTCATCAAAATTCAAAAGTGCTTGGAACTTGGATTGGATTCAAGTACATTTCACCTTATGTTTTGGTGAGGAGTGAGGACATAGGCCATCAGTTTCAAAGATTGTTAATCTTAACTTGGTCCACTAGGCATGGAAAAATTAGAATTAGATCTTTGACCAATTTTTTTAGAAATTAGAAAGTGTATTCCATTATCCATGAGGCTCTCTTTACATGAATCCGGCACAACAAAATCAAAATTGAGAGATTTTTGTTACAATTTCAAATACTCGAGGACTCGAGCATCACTAATCAAGAATGTCTCCACGAACGATAATACGTTTTATTATTTCTGACTTCTTAAAAAACTCTTACTGAAAAATTAACCAAATTTTCTCGATAATTTCTGCATTTGTTTCAAAACACCATCCATCCCATAATTTCTGCAAACATTCATCATATGCTAAAAGCAAAAAAAATAAAAAAAAAAAAAATGGGTGGAATTTGCATGCATATGAATCACAAACATAATAACACAAAGGCATAATGATGCAAAAACTTAACACAACAGAAGTAGAGAGTTCAAATCAATGGAAAAGCTAATCAATCCTTACATTCCATAGAGATTAGTCTAACAAACATAAGTTTTTAAACACAAGTTTTAGAACATAAGTTTCATCCAAGCTAATTCAAGTTTTAGAACATAAGTTTCATCAAAGCATCAAACATGCATTTTAAGAATAACTCTAAGAACCTTCGGCAACATTTCTACTAGTCGACTGCTTAAAACACCCACAACGAGGTCCCTTCTTACGCCTCCCGCTGTTTGTCCTTCCATTATCAACAACAAACTCCCTCGAAATTATACTTTTGCTCCTAAGGAACTTAATTTTCCCCTTATTCTTCTTCTTCTCTTCCTCCATTCGCAACAGCACATGCTGAATTTTCTGAAGCCCCAACTGCAAATCTTCAATCTTCTCCGAACCCTTCTGAGCCTGCTCCACTACTTTCATTTTCCACATTCTCATAGCCTCGTTCATTTCATCTCTCGGACAATACTCGATGTTTTTCACGAGCTGACCGTTCAAATCCACCAAATGGACGATACTGTCCTCAGCATCTTCCAACTGTTCTCTCACCGCCTGAAAATCGGATTTTTTCAACTTTCGGCTCTTTTTGTTCGTCTCTAGCTTCCTTCTCAAGCTTTCTAATGTTGTCCAGAGGATTTCGAGCTTTTCGGCATCCGTCGCGAGTTTCTCGAGGATTTTCGCATCATTGTAGGGCTCGAGTTTTCTTGTGGACGAAAGCTTCAATCTATCCACAGCTAACTCTTTCTCCAAATCCGAGTCTGTCAAAGGCAACAACAAAGATTTGCCCTCCTCATTTTCATACTGATTCGCAAACTTATTACCATCTTCGGTAGTTTCCCAAAGCTCGAGCATTAAATCATCCGAGCTGGCTTTGCTGTTTTTATTCCGCGTTCCGCGCCATGAGCTGTTATTAGAGACTTGATCGAGAGGAATATCTTTCATGAGAGCCGCATTTCGGGTTTCGGAGCTTTTGAATTTCGATCTATGCGATTTTGGAGAGTCGCTGGGCTCGTTTGTTGATCCCTTTTTCCTGCGGGGTTTTAACTGATGATCGATCTCGATGAACGAGAATTCTTGTATGATGTCGGAGTTTGATCTTCTCCAAACGGCAGGTTTATTTGTTTCTTGAATCATTTTTCCAACAGCTTTGACTCTCATCTGCAAGCTTTGCAAGCTGAGAAGGGACTGATCTTCAGGATGTATTTGAGAAGAGTCTTGACTGGAATGAGGTGAAACTTTGACAGCCTGTAAAGATGGGAAAAATTTTCAAGGATTATGCTTTCATTCGGAAATAGTCAAAGGATTATGCTTTTATCCGGAACATAATTTCCAAAGGAGAAAGAAAAAACGTCTAGTATAGTCAAGTTTATTTTTGCAGTTCTAATTTGAGCAGAAAATATGGTGAAAACATCTCTATCAGAAGCTGAAGTGGTTATCAAACAAATCTCAGTTTGCTCTAAAACATTCAAAAAGAAATATACTAATGGTCGATTATCTTGATTACCTTTGTCTGATGTTAACCCAGTTATAGTACTGAACTAGCAAAATTGTGTTTAAGTGCAATGGTCGATATACTAAGTNATATATTTTTTTTAAAAAAAAAAATAATAATATATATATATATATATATAAAGAAGAAAAAGCACAATAATCTTGCTTCAGAAAATATAAGAGCATTACCTGCATCTCTTGACCATATGCCACTTTAAACTTCGCGTGAAGTAAAGCATTATGCTCAAGTATTGCTATATCTTCTCTGAGCGAAGCTATAACAGGAGCATATGCATGCAGCTGGGACTTCAATCCACAAACTTCATTCTCCATGGAACAAATCTTCCCCTTCATCATTTCTATCTCCGAAATTTTCGCCTCGTGCTCATGCTCGAGAGTCTCACACACTTCACTAAGCTCTTGCACCTTATCTCTCAACAAAACCTCATTAATGGAGGAGACTTGAAGATCAAAACAAAAGGTCGATGCCTCGGCCTCCCACAGTTCGAATTCATTGCTCATTTCCTGGAGCTCGTTGCTTAGAGCCCGCTCTCGAACTGTATTCACTTCCACTTCTTGACGAAGGAAAACAATTTCCGACTCTAAATTTTCATTGGCCATGTGAAGGCTCTCGATTTCCTTCTTCTGGGAGGAATTATTTTCGGAAAGCTCGAGCACGTTTTTTTCTAGTCTTTTCCTTATTTCAGAGGACTCGTGAATTTCGGTCTTCAGCTCGTTCACTGTTCTGGACAAGTCTGAGTTAGTTTTTTCAGCAGCTTCGAGCTTTGATTCTGTATCCAACAGCTTGGCTTCGGTCTGTCTTAAGCTCTCTTTGCCGTTTATTATTTCTCTATTCATTTTTACGTTACATTCCCTGGCTTCATGCATGTCTCTCTGCAATCTACAGATGAAGTCTTTAAGGACTAAATTCTCTGCCTCGTGCAACTCTAGTTTCTCCCTCAACACATTCATTTCATCTTCGAGTCTTGCGCTGACATCATGCTGCCTGTTCAGATCTTTAAGAATTGATTTCAGTTCTACAATTTTCTCCTTCCCAAAACTCCTCAAAACTGCAGTTTGATTATCAGCTGCTAACAGCTCCAGAAGAATTGCATCATTGTGCTGATTGACCTGAAACTTCTCCTCTTTTAGTTCACAAATTTTCTCGAGCAAATGCGTATTCTCCTCATTCGCTCGAGAATATGCTTCGTGCAACAAATGATAAGCTTTCTGCAAATCAGCTTGTTTAACACAAAGACTCTCCAACTCATCCTGATAGACAGCAGCTTCTTCTAGATTTTTGGTCACATTGGATTTTAACAGCTTGTTTATCTCTAGAAGCTCTTCTTTTTCTTTTTCAACAAAGATAAGCTTCTCGGCCATTTTCTTTGATTCCTTCTCCAAAAGTACTTTATCTGACTCGATTTCATTACCCTTGGACTCCACCTGCTCGAGTAGAGCAAGTAGAACAGAGTTCTCAACTATAAGCTGCTGCTTTTCGTCCTCATTTCTAGAAGCACAACTTTTCAAATCTTCAATGCTGCCCAAAACACGATGCACCAAAGTTTGTTCATTTTGGACCTTGATGTCTTCAATAACACAATTATTGGGGCCGCTTTCCAGGCTTTTGAAAATTCGATATATGCCCAATCTCAGTCTCTCGATCTCGTCCAGTAAGAGCTCGGCTTCCACCTGCTGCTCGAGACTTTCACCCTCGAGCTCGGATATCAACTTCTCTGCCAATCTCGATGCCTCTACGTGCTTTTGACACTCGATAATTAGAGCACAATTTTTCTCCTCCATATCTTTTATGAATTTCTGCAAGATGGAAATTTCGAACTGTGCTTTCAATGATTTATCGAGTTCATCCTCGGATTCCTTCTTTTTCCATTTATTTTCCTCCTGCAAGAGATGGATAATGTTTTCTAGCCCGGCCATTCTCATCTCGCTTTCGAGCTGAGAACATTTCCTCTCCTGTTTTTCCTCACACAAGGAAACCTTAAGTTTCTCAACTTGACAGTGCATGGCTTCTTTTTCCCTCTTGACGTCAGCGTACTTTATTTGCAGACCCGTAAACTGCTTTTCGAGGCTTTTTAGCCTATTCTCAACATTTTCCAACTTCAAGACTAAGGTATCCCTTTCAGACAGAAGGAAAGACCTTTCGTTCTTGAGCATTTGGCATATTTCTTCAAGTCCCTTCGATTTTTCCCTCAAACCTTGAAGCTCGATTTTCGCCTCACACAGTGTATCTTCCAAAACAGCATTCTTCCCCAATAAATTCTGCATGTTCTCAGTCATAGCATGCAGCTGAGACAAAATAGAAGCTTTCTCGGCAACAAGATTGCCTTTCTCTCCACGTAGAAGGTCGCTCGATTCTTGCAATTCCTTCACCTTCCTACGCGAGACTGCCAGCTCAGCATTCAAATCCGACAGGGTGCTTTCGGCAATCAAATTTTTCTTTAAAGCTCCTTCAATTTCCTCTAGCCTCTTGGAAAGAATTTCTTTCTCAACATATTCGTGCTCACATTTTTGTCTAAGTGTCGAGTTTTCGTCACGCAAGCTCTTAAGTGAATCCTCAACACATTTTGGGTTCAAACCAGCTGCTTCAACTTGCTCGACTAATTCTCGGTAGGTTTTATTTAACCCCTCGATTTCTTTTTTCAAGCACAATATCTCCTCCTGAAGAGAAGCAGTCACATCCAAGTGAACCGAAACCTCATTTCCAAGTCTATCCCGAATCTCCCGTAAGCCAATAATTTCGTTCTGCATTTTCTCCATTGAAATAGACGAAGACATAATTGTTTGTCTCAAAGTGCCATTTTCATCCTTAACCTTCCCGACTTCTACTTCCAACT